CATGTTGTCGTCGAGGACAAACACAAACACAGCAGGGCTCGAGCTCACGTACGTGAACATGTGCAAATGGACAAAAGGCATGCAGAGCTCTCTGTTTACGTTCTCATGTAGCATGCACACACACACATATGTCACATATTGATGGAGAAAGCAGCGGTAGGCCTCAGGCAGCTCTCCACCTCCCCATTACATGCTCTTATTGGCCGATGCTACTCCCAGGTAATTAGCAGCAATGATGCTTTTCTATACTAGCATGGACTTCTCCTGTTTATTGCTGTCAAGAGTGCACGGGGGAGGCAAATGGCTTGTTTGCAAGCTAATGCCTTTTTAACTGATCACAAAGAAGAGTGAAAAGAAGGCAGCCAATTAGATCTAAAACCTCACAGCTCCGAGTCATTAGCCTCGCACGGGAGGGTTGTTGCACATCTTCTCCTAGCAACTTCCCTCCCTCTGTGCATCTGTGTGTTTAGAGAGGCCATACTGCCTGTTCAGCATATTTGCGAGACAGGAAGTGCACCTAGTTCATTGCCCCCGCCTGGCCCCCCCCCCCCCCATACCAACCCAGCGGTGACCCATCCAATGCAGACGCCCAAACACTCATCCTGCCTGTCTGCCAAACTTCCACGTAAGCACAAACACCAGGGTGAAAACAAAACAGAGCCAAAAAGTATGCCGGCACACAGAGCTGAAAGCAGACGAGGCATCTAGACAGAGAAGACATAAACAAGCGCAGAGCTACAGATGGTTGCAGCTGAATGAACAGAAACAGCAGCATGCACACAACATCTGATAGTACACCCAGGGTAAGATGTTGGGAAAATGACTCACTGTGGCACTCTGTGTTGTCACTCTAACTCGTGGTTTGTCTATTCATAAAAGAGGACGCAAAACTGGGAACCTGGGCTAGTTATAGTCAATTTGATTTAAATGCACAGCTCATGATTCAAGAAAATACTTTTATCCTGCTGGAAATACCAATGCTGCCCTTTCTTTTGATGAGTTAATATTTATCCCGACCATACAGAGTAATCCCAGGGATCTATATCTGTCTGGTGTAACTGAATCTTTGTGTGAGCGTTGACGGAGCAGACAGATCACAGACGAGCACATTACAGCACGGCCCAGTGAGGGCTTTGTTTGCCTGGACGGCCCAGCACCTCTCCCAATAACAGGGCATTTCATGCTGCTCAGGAAGAGAGATAAGATGGGAACACCACATTCTTCCCCGGTTAAACACTCTCCCACTCTCGTCTCGCTTCCACCAGGTTATCTGTCTCCCTGTCTCGCCGCTTCCTTGCCCCATTTTCCAATCTCTATTTTTCCCTTCACGTACATCCGTTCCTGTCCTCCCCTGCTCTCTTCCTTTCTTTTTCCAAACAGGGGAAGCAATGACCCAGCTGGCTACGAGACAAGGGGATCATTCTGAGAGAGAGAAACGCAGACAGAGCCAAGGCATGTTGCCATGTAGAGCCGCCTACAGTGACAATAGCACCACAGGAACACGACATGGGTCAAATCACTGCCTCGAGGCAGAGAGAACAGCCTTGTGCTCTCTGGGTGCATTTCTTTTTGCCTTGTGCTCTCATGGCAAGGGTTTAATAATGAATTGCACAAGCTCACTGAGACATTGTGTTAACCTCAAACCTTGTGCATATAGATATAAATAAAACGGAATAAAGGAGCTGATTAAATTGTGTGCTGTGTGGAGGGCAAGTAATGCAATCTGCTGTTTGGATTTTTCCAAAAGACAGAGAAGCAGTAATTCATGGTAAAATATCTTTATTGTAACACTCTGGATAGAACAGGCATACCACTATGGTGACACAACTAGAGCCTGCCTCTTGTTTGGCAGGCAAGACAGGCGTGCTACACTTTTCAGCCACAAGTTTCACAACAGAGCTTTAAAATAAAAAAATAAAAAAATCAAAGCAGCTTTTCATCACAGCCCGGCCTGTGGACCTCGCTGCTGCTGTTCACTGTCGGAGTGTCAACTCATCTCACACATATACTGTTGAATGTTGAGTCTCAGGGCGACTCATGGAGGTAAAGAGCGAGAGAGGCTCAGGACGCTGATGCCTGAAATTTCACACATGAGGCGTGTGTCTCTCCATGCTTGTGCTAATGACTGACCTTGGCGCTCCCGAGTTGCATCGGTGTGCTGGAGGACTGTGACTGAGGAACGTTGCCTGTGACTGGGTTTGTTCGGGCTGAAGAGACACTGCAGGCGCATTATTGTCCCAGTCTCTGAGGATTCGTCATGCATTCCAGACCCGCAACAAAAATCATCTGTTTCCAGGAAAGCCTCCACATAAATGTTTAAACAGTGCGAAGCTCATTAGCTATGCTTTTATCTAGGCCAGACTGAGATCAGGTTTAGAGGTCTTATACTAAGGTAATTAGCATGTGATAATCTCTGAGTCATTAAACTACCTCACCTACTTAAACACGGCTGTGGTTGTTGTTCAAGTGTAAATTATGCCCACTTCTGTTTGTGGATTGCTCGATAAAAACGCTGATTTATTACTGAGCAGGCGCTGTCTGTAATCTTGTAAAGCCTGTTCAGCTACAGTATTTCACTGTCCTGGATTCTGCTTCAAGATTTATACTGTAAGTAGTAATTAGGTCAATTATTGGCAACAAAATAAGGGTTTTGTACGCTGCTTTAAAAGAGTGCTGTCATCCATGCATGTCCTCATTTCTATCCTGGCGCTGTTCTTTGGTCAACTGCTCAATAAAAGCCTGGGCTGAGAGAAAAAAGTGGAGAAAAAGTGTAAAGGCAGATGGGAGGAGAAGTTGCCTAAGGGTAGAGTGTTGAACATTTAATATGAAGCAGAGTATATGTCCAAGGACATTTCCTTTAATGGGAAAATGGTGGGATGGAAATTGAAATTGGTTTACGTGTGATTGAGTTGTATTGTCAGTGGAAATTAAACATTTAAACTGCTGTAAAATGAGGGCATGTACCACTTTCCTCATGGTTTGTACTGAATGTCACTCAGCGCTGGGAAAACATTTTGGTTATGAATGGAAAATACAACCCGAATAGAAAGAAAACATCTTTTTATTTGACAAATCCATTTTGCTTTTTTTTTTTTTTTTTTGCTGAACACTTTTAATTTCAGTGTTGTCTGCGCCTGCAGCGACACACCGCAGCAGGTCTAACATATTGACTCAGATGTCAACAGCACTTCATCACACTGAAACACAACATTGCGGTTTCTAGACATTTCAGAATACATTTATTGTCACTGTCAGACGTTCTGCCAAAACTACAACCTGACACCCTCTTGCTCAGGAGAAATCCTGCACTGTGCAGCCTCGTTGGCTGTTTCTCAACTTCACATTCAACCTCTTAGTCACAGTCTTGTTACGGCATCTACATTTGGGATATCTCCATAACTTCGTCTGCAATTTCACATCATTAGCTGGATCTTAAGTGCCTTCAGTTTGTGTTTAAGTCTGAGGTATATGATGTGCAGACCTGTCCTGAGGCTGTATCTGGAAACAACCCTCTTTCTTAGCTCGCTCCTTTACGACTTTAGATATACCCGCTCAATTTAAACTGCCCTCACAATGCCCTTGCTACAGTAGTGAGAGGACATTGGGCTTTGGCTGGCTACAGCGTCATCCCACCCTTTCTTGTGGGTATTCTCTTACAGCAAGTGAGAGCTATCATCAAATATGCAACAGCTTAAACTAATACCGAACTGAGTATTAAGAATAACATTATTGTATACAGAACACTCAAAACGTGATCCGCTAAGGTGACTACCACATTTTTTTTCTTTTTTTTTAATATGGGAAACAACATGTCATGGTGTAAGCCTGTCCCAAGAAGCGCTTCACTTTAAAGATGCTCTTAAATACGTAATTGAGCAAAGACATGTCAAAGAAGCACAATGAGCGAAAAAATAGAGCAGTGGGCTGCGAGTGATGTAACACCTTCTATTTCCTCTGCCCTCCCAGCGTGGGTGATTAAAATACTGAAGGCTCCATTGCACAATCAATACACACATCTCATCTGGAAACCTTTTTTTTTTTTTCTTTCTGTCTACGAGATCTCTTGATATTTGAGCTTTCATCGTTGTTTATTAAAAGCCTGCTGCTTGTTCATTTGCCACACAATCTGCATCTCTTTGAAAAGGAAACTCCACACACCTACAATCTACTTCTCCATTTCAAAATAAAAAAAGCAGGGTTTTTTTCTCTCCCTGTCCATGTGGCTGCATTATCGTAACCCTTGTTCATTCATAACAACTGAACAGATACTGTATGGCACATTCCCAACCACATGGTACTGGACACATTTAATAAAAACTGAAGAAAATTAGATTTTTGTGTTACACTTCTTTCTTGTGCTGGGGCTGCTCGCGTCCCTCAAGGCTGATCAGATGTCCAATTATTTGGTAATTTAGTTCAGAGGAGCAGGAGAAAGTCCGATCTGCTTGAGTAAGCAGGCAAAGTATTGTACTGTACATCATGGCCACTCTTTGAAGCCCTTTCCCTTATGCCCTTATGACTGCTGTAAAAGTCATACAGACACACCGGGGCGCTTATTTAACAAAATTAGCTCTTGGATACAGTATTGTGCTTCACCAAGGCAGATGCAATATATAGAGTACAAAAGGGAAATTGTACATAGAAGGTATCAGTCTCTGCAAGGAAGGCTGTGGGGGTTGCTGTGGTTGAGGACCGGGGACTACAACTAGATGGAGTGGCGGTTTAAGCAAGGGCAAAAGCTGGACCTGAGGATGAGGGGGATGGATTGAGGGGGGGGGGGGGCTGCAGATTCGACCTGCAGAGAAGGTATGAAGAGTCAGAGCAGCAGCTGCTCATGGGGTAAAAGCTGGAGGCTGCAGAGAGAGATGGAGGGGCACAACATCTACGGTACATCTACTGGTGCAGAAGCCATCAGAGAGAGAAGGACAGGACGGCTGGAGGCTGGAGGGGGGGCACTTGGAGACAGGGTGGGGGACCGGGGGGAACAAAGTCTCACTCACGGTAGAACACATATTCAGTGTAGCTGGTCCAGATCTTGTCGTCCGTCTGCTCGTGGGCAAAGGCGCAGGTTCCTGTGGAATTACAGGCCACCATGTGGAAGCCTGCATCCGCCAGCTTGTCAAAAGCCTGCTCCAGAAAGGTGAACTTGAGATAGTAGCGAGATGTGTAGCGCTCAGGGGGGCGGTCGGGGTCACGGCTCTCGTTCAGCGTCTCCCCAAACACCTCTTTGGCCAGAGAGGTCTTCCCACACACCATGATCCGTGCCACCCGGCGGAATTTGGCATCGGTGTGGCTGTCACGGCCCAGGGTGTATGAGCCCCGATAGCCAATAGTGATGAACCCCGAACGTTTGCCATCCATGGCACCGGGCACCAGGCTGGCACAGGCAGCTGCAGCAGCACCCAGGGAACTGAGGTTGCGGGCTGTGTCAATCCCAGGAGACGTGTCCTCTGGGTCGCTCTGACATCCCTCATCGCCTAGGGAGTTCTGCTTGCTGATTTTGGGCGCCAGCAGCTTCACAAGCTCTGGCAGGTTGAAGAACTCGGCCTCCCTCTGCAGACGCCCGCGCTCTGGGAAGTGATCTGGAAGAACCAGCTGCTGGTCCCGCATGTAGTCCAGGATGTAACGGAACAGGAAACCATCACGGTCCACAAAGAAGCGCCCCTTGGTGTCTCTGGCCAGTCCTTTGGCTGACTTCCGACTGAACATCTCCCATAGCAGGGAGTCTGGCACACTTGTGAGGGTAGAATAGCGGGTTATGTACACCTGCCCACCAACATTGAGCTCTATAATCTCTGGGAAGGGTACTTCCTCCCCAGATATGCCACTATCTGGTAGAGCCATGGCTTACTCCTGCTTCACAGGTGCTCTTGGATGCAGCTTTAAAAAACTCTCTTGGTTGTGGTGAAAGTTCAAATGCCAAGAGTTGAAAAAGGATTGTTAGTGGTACCTGTCACAGTGGTTGGTGAGGCCTGTTGCCTGTCAAAGATTGCAGGTCCTGCTGCGGTGGATCGCCTGTGGTAACGGAGCGGCTAATCTGCAGCAGCGCACAATTGGTATGCGCGCAATAAAAGCTGGCCGCCACTCTCGCATCAAAGCCGGCAGGGGCAAAAGAGTATCATAAACACACCCTCTATCCTAACTACAGCTTTCTCCCATAACTGCTAAAACATAGCGCGGAGTATTTCAGGCTGCGTTTAAGAGCGCCGTGATGTCCGCGTCCTTTACGCGCAGATAGATGTGATATCCTGAGATTGTAATTCTGCTTTTGACACCAAGTCTCTGAGCAGGAAATGCACCATTTGCACAACTGTCCATAACGACTTCCCTTGCTCTAATTTTGGTCGGTTGTCCTGGCGCAAAGAGGATCAGGTGGCCCAACTTCAACAAATAAACAATCCATAGTTGGTGAGCTCTGTGGGTACCCCGTACACGAAAAGCCACGCGATGAAGAAGATGGTGCTTAAGTAGTGAGAGGTGAGGAAGGTGCATAAAAAGATCTCCGAGGGTTCCATCACTTTGCGCTTCAAATGTGCGCGAGGTGGTCAGCTGTTCCGCTCCCTCTGCTCCTCTCTCTCGTGTCAGACGGTAACTCTGCTGCAACGTAACGGAGGATACAGCGTTATTCAGCCGGTTGGCCACGCCCACCCGCGGTGACGCGCCAACGCTGTGATCCAGGTCAAATTATCCTGTCTTCAGAGAGCAGGTCCTTTACTGTATCTGCTTTAAAGATGCACAGCTGATAAAGTCTGACAGTTTTCCTTTTAAAAGTTCACTTATATAGCTGCCCAATATAAAAACATCAATTTAAAGGAGCCTCATTTTTTTGAGTTTCCCCTATAATTTATTCATTCATACATTCCATAAATAAGCCTGCCATAAATGGAAGATAACAGCAACCAAACTTGTGCTCTAAAAATGTATTCATGCATGTATCCTCAGTGTGCTCTCTTGTTCCACGGACTAAATAAACAATGGACACCGAGAGCAAAATAATTATACTGCCCAATTCTTATTTTCCCAGAGTCTCATTTAAACCCCACCACTGCTGTGCATTTAATTTTGATGCATTTATTTTTGGCAACACTCTCGTAATCAGTGCAGTCAGTGTCTCTCAGTACGATGGGATAACAGTGACATCTAGTGAATACTCAGGAGGAGATGTTTTCTCCAGCAGAACATTAGTAACTACTGATTCTGATCATGCATCGAGAGAGTTTGTTGGTATTCTGCAATAGTTTTTATCCTACTTAAAGCCCCCCTCCTGTCAAAATGTGTCTGCTACTTTACTTCAATGTTTGACCTTCACTGTGCAGAATGCTGTACGTGCAGAGATTGACACCAGGAGGCTGTTTTCACACTCAGTTTCTCTGCGCTCACCTTTAAATCTGAGTTTGAGACGTGCATGTAAGAGCATGATTTGTGATGTCACAACTGGTTTGGAAGACAGACCAATATTCAGCTTAGACGAGTGTGATGTGTAAGTGAAACCTCCGGCGCACATACACCAAGACAGTCGTGGAACATAACTAATTTGCTCAAGTGCTGTACCTAAAGGAATACTTCACCCGCAAAATGACCATTTGTAAATCAGTAAGTCATGCCATGTTACCTTGCTTCCACAGCAAATGGCCAACATATTGATTTACTGATTGATTGGGGATGTTTAACAACAGCAAAACTATATCAAAAACACCCGTTTATGAACTCTCACACAACTCGTGCAATATAATCCAAGTCTCATTTCCCCAGTTGCATGTTCAGTACTTCCCTAACACATGCATTTTCACTAGAAACATCAGTGTTGGAGTCTGGCTTTGACGAGAGCAAAGATAATCAGTTTTTAATAGTATGGTTTCAGCATAAATGCATGCGTTCAGGAAGTACAGATAACTGGATAAATGAGAGTTGGCTTATAGTGCAAGAGTTGTATGGGACTTTGTAGAGAAATGTTTTGATGTGATTTTGCTGTTGTTAAAAGCAGTCCACAGTCAGTCAGTAAATCAATATGTTTGGTGTTTGCTGTGGAGGCATGCGAGGAAAACAAAGTTTGGCTTCAAATTGAAGGTAACACAGCATGACTAACTGAGTTATAAATGGTCATTTTGTGGGTGAAGTGTTCCTTTAAGTACAAATTTGGGGTACTTGTAGGCTACTTTACGTGACTATTTCTATTTTCTGTCACTATGTACTTTATTACTCTACCTTTTTACTTCTTTATTCTTTACCTTCTATACTTTTTACTTGTTTTCTTTATACATATGTGTATCTGTGTTTTTGAATGCATTATGTAAAAAGCTACTGGGTGCCTTAGTTTCCCTCAGGATTAATAAAGTATCTATCTATCTATCTATCTATCTATCTATCTATCTATCTGTCTATCTATCTATCTATCTATCTATCTTAAATTATTTAGACAAAATATAAATCAAGTTATAAAGTATCTTACTATATCTTACTATATAATGACAAAAACTCTGTGTGTCTGTCTGTTCCACATTTTTCTCCTCACTGACTTGGTCGATCCATGTGAAATTTGGCACAGTGGTAGAGGGTCATGGGAGGATGCAAATGAAGCAATATTACATCAATTGGCCAAAGGGGGGCGCTATAGCAACCGATTGAAATTGCAAACTTTGAATGGGCATATCTCATGCCCCGTATGTCACAGAGACATGAAACTTTGCACAGAGATGCCTTTCCTCACGAGGAACAAATTTGCCTCAAGAACCCATAACTTCCGGTTATATAGATTTTCCGCCATTTTGAATTTTTTTTTGAAAAACACTTAAAATCGATCTCTTCCTAGGAAGTTTGACCGATCTGCATGAAACTGGGTGAACATAATCTAGGGACCAATATCTAAAGTTCCCTCTTGGCAAAAGTTGGAAAACTTACTAAAACTGAGCTTCTATAAGGCAATGAATATTGTGGAGGGTGTGGCTCATCAAATAAAGGTGTATAACATCTCAAGGGTTTCACCGATCACCACACAACTTTGTAGGCATATGACCACACATAATCTGAGGGGACCACTCCATTATTGACCCCATCAAACAAAATGGGGGCGCTAGAGAGCTAATTTCTTATCTAGGCCTAACCACCATATGGATTTTTACTAAACTTGGTAGATAGGTAGAACAGGACGCCTCAAGGTGACTGGAGAAATTTAACTCTTATTGGCAACTGAGTGGCACTATAACAACAGAAAAATGCTTAAAAATGGCTAAAATGCGACCGATCGCTGTGGCTCCCCCTGTGGCTGAATGTTTTGTTGTTTTTTTCTAATTTTTGGTATGACTAAGTCATGGTATGGTATGCTGTAGATAATGGGTTGGAACTAGTGATTTATTATTATAGAGTAATGCAATGATCCAATAATCCAATAAAATAATATATGGCCTATATTATTCTGAAATGGGTAAGTATGCATAATGAATATTTTTACTTTTAGCACTTTAAGTATATTTTACTTAAGTAAAACTTTGAACATGTGATTTTTGTTTGTAATAGAGTATTCCTACACTGTGGTACTGCTACTTTTACTAAGGTAGAGGTCTGAGTATTTCCCCTACCTGTGCACTAATAATTTATTGTGTTCAGCAGTTTTATAATTTGAAAGGAGTTAAAATGTTAATATGAAATATGTTTTCATCTGTGTTTACTTTTTGCAGCACCAGTGGCATCAACAACTACTGAATTCAAGAATCTGAAGAAATAACGTCTGAAAAAATAATCCCCACTCAAGGCCCACTTACCGACTTTCCTTAGCTGTCAGTCATATCACACAGTCTTCGTGGGTGGATCATTTTGGCTCAGGTGTCATGGAGATGGGTCTGTGTGTGAACTCAGTAGCTCTTTGATTCCAACGATATGCATGAAAGTTCATTGTTGACCTTTGTAATAACACTGTGACAAAACTATGCAAAGTCAAGGTCCACTCACTTAGTGGCTTTTGGCAGTAATTTCTCAGACTGAGGTACATCAGATCAGATGACACATCCTGTAGTCTCAGTATAAACACAACAAAAGGGGCATGGGTGAGTCAGAGAGACCTGCACAGTCAACAGGCCGCCTGCTATTTATGCTCCATGTGTCTCTCTTTTTCCCTCTCTTGTCATGTGTAGTCCGCCACACAGTCCTTTCTCTGACTAATCAGCAGGCCAATTTTGCCCGTCTCCAAGCATTCTGGCACTGATTTCCCTGAAGGCCCCGCACTCTCCAGCTGGCTTGCAGCACTTACAGCCTTGTCGACGACAATCTGGCTAGGACCACTCTGGTTATGTGGGCCACCGCAGGATCTGGAGGTAATATGGCAGTGCTGTCTGCCAATGAGATGAGTTGATGACACAGTCCCCAGCTCCATTTGCCATTCCCTTCATTGAAATATGCACAAGCAATATGCCCAGAATGCTGTGCGGTCCAAAACAAAACATCCAAAATAATATGCTCTGATGCAGAACCATACTTACAATTCAGGATTATCGTCAAATATTAACCCATGCCAGTGATTTCAAATGATTAAGTGACTGAAATATTTGTGTGCAAGTGCACCTTGTCACCTGCTGACTCTAAAATCAGTAAAAAATCCATGCTCATCAGCATGTGACCCTGGCTTTTTACTGGCAGTTTCATCATTCTAATCACATCCGGACAATAGCTCATTGATCTTCAGAAAAATGGGCGAAACGACTACATCAAATAAATTAGTTTGACCTTCTGCAACGGCTGGATTAACTGTGTACGTCTGTCAATTCTCATCACAGTGATGGCCTTCTGAGGCCGGTAGGTGTGTGTGTGTGTGTGTTTGATGCTCTGCTGATTCAAAATAGGCAGAGAAGAGGCTCGGGAGAGAGATAGTGGTTCAGCATACTCACACAGGAAATGGGAAAATGTACTTACTGCCACTGCTGTTGCTTAATCGCGTGTATTCAGAGAAAAACAACCTGACAAAGTCGTCGGGTTACTTAGGGAGGATTTTGTGGATATGTCTGCATATTGATCTCCACGTTCTCAGCGATTTCTGCTGACAGCTGCACCAGTAAGTGATTTATGAGATATTCTGAGGGATCAACAAAAAAATGAACAGGCTGTTGCATCTATCAGGTGTTAGCGGTGCCCATGTGGACCCGTCTGCACAGCCTCATTTCCCTCAGCACGAGGCATCATACATCTTTCAAGACGGGCGACGTGGAAGCGAAACAAGACACGACTGCAACGCATCTCAGCTACACACAGAGTTTCAGTGCGCTGAAGGAGTCAAATCCCCTGTGAGTCTAAGTAGAGAGGAAAAAGATGCAGTTGTTTATTTAATCATGAGAGGGAGTCTGAATTGACAGCATCTGTCTGACAGATGAACAACACATTAATGAAATTAAAGTGGATATTCAACCAGGAAGGCCATCTCGTCCCAGCAGCCCCCACACACCCACAGTATCACTCCTGAAAACTTTTTAATCAAATCACTTTGCTCCACTTTCTTTCTGACTCAGTCTGTGCCTTTCCTCTCTTGACGGTTACACCCAAGTCATTTAATCATCCTTTTGTTTGTTTCCTTCCTCTCTAAGGCCATGCCCAAACCAATCAC